ATGTAGGAAGTTAAGCCTTAAATATTGATTAGTGTTGCTATATTTACTTCATGTTAAGTTTGGAAGACCAGAGATCAATCGCCTAGGAAAATCAGAGGAAAATTGACTTTATGCTGAGTACTGTATGGGGATGCTGAGTTTCAGTTCTTGGTGTCATTGAAAGACCTATGAGGAAATGAAAGCAGGAGATGCAGTTGACTTAAGGAACATTTTTTCTTGCCTTTCCAGATGATAAGACCATGAAATAAGTACAAGGGGCCACAGTATTCAAAATAGGACACGATACAGGCAAACAAATTCCATTGGCAAATCTCTGGGTTCAAAGGTCATGAATATTTAAGAATGGCAAGTGGATTATAAAAATATACTACTTAGGATTTACTTATTAATAGTATATAAACCATAACACTTGTTTAGCATAGCAAAATGCACACACTTGCATCAAAACAGGGTATTTCAAAGAACTTTTCTGAGGGGAAAAGTTAAATCATAAAGTGCTTGACTACTTTAGGAATGTCTGCCGAATGACTGCCCCTGTCCAGTTAGGTTTTATTCTGCAGTCCTCAAGATCCCCTACGTGCGTTTATTTTCAAATAAGAAAATGAAATCCAAATTTAAGAGCCATCTTGCCTAGATTACAACAACAGTCACAACAGTTATTTGTATACCTAAATCCACCAACATGTAGATAGTTTTTATATGTAAGTATATGTACTATATGTGCTAGCAGCTCTGGAACACAAGAAAGGATGGAGCGCTCAGTTGTTAACCACAATGTCAGTGGGTCGCACCCACCCAGTGGCTCTGTCGGAGGAAGACCTGGCAGTCTGCTTCCACAAAGGTGGCCACCCAAAGAGCCCTAGGAGGCTCTTCTCTGCCCTTTCCTGTCATTCTGACTTGAAATTGGCTTTATGGGAGCTAGCAACAACAGTATAGTTTAGCGTGTACTCTATAATTATTTTAAAACACATTTTATTGAACTATAATGTTTAAAAGTGTAACCAGCCACTTATTTTGAGTATTAAATCATTTACCTAAATATTTATCTTCACTTTTTACAGTCACAAGCTTGGTGGCCATTTGAAGGACTTGTTGACAAAATCCTTGAATTCACTGTTAAGCAACTTTTTACTTCAGAAACTGAGTAATTGATTAATCAACTTTTCACATGACAATTATTGTTCCCATATCGGGGGGTGGGTGGGTTATTTTAATGTTAAGATTACAGGAAATGTAGTTGCCTTTATTGAATAGGTAATTAATAATGTAAAGGTTTAAAATATTTTATCCTAGTCTATTCCAATATTTTACTGAGCTCCCTGTTTTCCATGAAAAAATACTTGCGTACATTACAGCAGTGTCTTTAGAATCAGTGTTGAGTTAACGTGAAAAGCCACCCGGATAGAATCTAAGGTATACAAGGTATAGTTGTGATACAGTGTCCTGCTCATCAGCTGGACGGCTTCCTGAGAGAAACATCCGAGAGCAGTTAGCAAAGAACAGAGCCATAGCACCATAAGAAGTGCATTAAAATGGCACCGTCACCTGATTTCTCGAACAGTATTATTTTTAGTATATGTAGCTCCTACATTATTAAAGTAAGCAACTGTTCCTTATCAGCTTGAGAACTTAAGGAAAGAGCAGAAAATGACTAGCATTTTGACTGCCTATATTATACCAGGCACCATGTGTGAGGTTGGCCAATTGCCCTACTTTATTTTCATGTATCACCAATGAGATAGCTGCCATTGTTACTATTCTGCAGATACAGTGTGGCTACTCTGAGAATTGAATTAATGTCCACAAGGTCAGACAGTAGGTAACAAAGTTGCTATTTAAACCAAACAACGTGTCATAAAATTGTACAGTTAGGGCAATGGGTGAAATTACATGTAGCTATCAAAAATATTGTAGAGTGTTTAGCATGCTTAGTTAGTTAATTTGTGCCAACCTAGCCAATAAGCACATGTGGGGCTAATTGAAAGGCGCAGGGATAAATGGGTGGTGAGCCTCGCCTTTCTAGTTCTCGGGTCTCTTGTTTTGTGATGGTCGCACTAGGGGCAGCTGCCTTAGCAGTTACCTGCTTCAGCTTGCAAGATTGACTTCCTACAAGACATCCCCAAGGAGAAGCTACATGGACCTATCCCAATGCAGCCCTGGGTGCTGGAGCAGCCTGTGTGGAGATCCCTGCTAGTGATGAGATGCTTATTCGTTCACTGACTCAGCTTTCCTCCTGCAGTCGGCATCATTGCCTCTGTTTTGTGAGGTGGAGGACTTTGTGGACTGGTGTTTGGTTAATGTTGGACTTGTGGGCTTGGGCAGCATTGGGTTGGGATGTTTTCATGATGCACCTTTTCTTTACATAAAACTCTCTCTTATACATGAGTTGCTGTGGATTTGTTTCTCCAAAGTACCTAGACTAATACACATGCCAAATACAGTGACTTATCTGTGAACATCTTCCTTTCCTCTAGTTGAAATTTATAAAACTTCTTTTGTTATTTTTCTCTTTTTTATTTTATTGTGGTATGCTTTCAAATTAATGACCTCCAAATAAAAGCATCGTTACGTTAGTAAAACTCAGAACCAAAGTTTGTTATTAGATTTAGTTTGTATTTTGTTCTCATCATTATGTCCTGAAAAGAATTGGAGTAGAATTCATCTTTAGGCATTTAGTAACAGTGTTTATCCACTCATTCTGCAAATGGGTGTTGCATGGCAACTTTGGGCCAGGCACCAGGCTCAGTTCTGGGCACGCAGAGATGGAGCCAGCTGGTTATTTACTAGTGCTGTATTACATTCTACAAAGGGAGGTATGCTGTGGGTAGTTTTTTCCTGGGCTTAGCCAGTCTTGTAACAACGTATATTTACAGTCCGAATTATTCTTGCCCGTTTTATTTATCCTACTACAATAAGTAGCACTGTGTAAAAAACAAACAAACAAACAACTTTTAAGAGTCCCAACATCACTTCCCAACCTAGCTGCACTGTTTGTGTCCAACACGTGCCCATGAGAAACTGGTGAGGCTCTGCAGAGTCCTGAGTTTCAGCGTTTCCCACTGCATCAGAGTTACCTGGCATGCTTTTAAAATAAAGAGACCTAGGCCCCTTCTGGACTTGTCAGAATCTCTTGGGGAAAGGGTTGCTAGTCTGTATATTAGAAAAGAAAAAAAGGATCCCCCCATTGAATGCAGCTTTTTGAAAATGAGAATCCAAAGTAACGGAACCAAACGAAATACACAGATGAGATAGTGGAAATGAGAATTATGCATACAAGAAAATCAAAGGCTTGGCTTTCTATAGAAATGTTTGAGGTAAACAAATAGAGTCTATTGCACAAACACCAGTGGTTCTCCTTTTTCAGTATTTATCTGGGCTCTATTCAGAAGTGGGAGGGACTAGATGATGTGCTTACGAAGGCCAGTCAGTGTCAGTGTGGCCAAGGCTTCGATAGAAGATCATGGCTGTCTGTGCTATTTATAGAAATACAGAAGCTGACCTGAGTGAATTGGCAGTAACTGAATCCCCAGGCTGGATGTAACCTCACGTACTAGTTCCAGCTGCTAGGACCAGTGGACTCTGACTCACGACGACCCTGTGGATGTTAAAGTAGAACTGTACTCCTGAGGATTTTCAAAGACCGATGTTTTCAGAAGTGGGTCACTAGACCTTTCCTTTTAGTCACCTCTGGGTAAACTGGCACCAACCTGAACCAGCCTGTCAGCTAGTAGCAGAGCAACTCAACCATTTGTTCCACCCTGTGATTACAGCCTCACTTAGCTACATTTTAAGTAAGCTCAATCTTAGTGTGAAATATGATGTGGGGCTACTGAGAACCAGAATTTCCCTGGGAGCCCAGTTGTTCCTCATATGGAAAGGGCACATTTTCTCTTGCAGAGCTCAGCTGAGATAGATCATTCAAAGGAGGATTTTGTGAGATTTTATCATAATTAGCATAGCAGTAATTTTGAGTCAATTTACAATACAAGGTCAAATTATGCAAAATTGATTTTTCCTGGAAAAATCAAAGAACTCTCAAACAGGTGGTTTATGACTTCAATGAAGTATTTATCTTACCCTCACAAACCATTCTAATTAGATCTATTGGTGAACCAAGTTGTCAAGGTACTAACTGATGAGATCTAACTAATCCCATGACTTGGCAATATGTTAAAATAATTGGAGGATGCAGTTCCTCACACAATATTGCACGTTGCATACTTCAATACATATGTTTTTATTAAAATAACTATCTCAAAAGGAAGCTATATTCATATTTCTTATTTTTAAGCTGTTTTCTATCTCCATTTTACACTCGGAATGTTTCAGAGAGTAAATATATCTGCTTCTTGGGAAATGGGGATCATAAATGTCTTGAAAGGTTGTACGTTAAAGGATACCTTTTCCACCAAAGCTGCATTACTCTGAGTAACATCTGTCTCCATGGGGGGTCATGTGGTATTTGTAGTCTTTTAGATTATCCATTTTCTAATCCAGGGCTTGTAAAACTTCATTGTGATCTTAATTTACTTTTTATAAGATAGTAGTATAGATATTTTACTAGAGATCCAATGTGCTAAGAACACAAGATAATATAGATGATAAAAATATCTTGATTCCTTTTGGCTTTGTCAGAGTTAACCATGAAGATACTATAGCAGTGAACCTAATATTTTTATTTACTATTCTTTGATTTAATATTATTCTAGAAATGCATAGATTTTTATAAACTTAAATCTAGAAATATGAGCACTCAGATTGGGAAAAACGGATGAACTTCATTAAACCTTTTAACATTTAAAAATGAACACTTAATTTTGGTCATGAATGTGGGTGAAGCCATTACTTGTTCTAAAGATATGTAAGAAGTTACCGATAGTATGCGATGTGAAAAACCTCCAGTAGAATTAAGTGATAGTTTTTGCATGACTGCTATTGTTTTGTAAGATTTGCTGATGTTCTTATTTTTTAAAATGGTATGTGTTGTTTTTGTGTTTTAGGGTCGTTGCTCCAGAGAGAACTGCAAATATCTTCATCCACCCCCACACTTAAAAACGCAGTTGGAAATAAATGGGCGCAATAACTTGATTCAGCAAAAGAACATGGCCATGCTGGCCCAGCAAATGCAGCTAGCCAATGCCATGATGCCTGGTGCCCCATTACAACCTGTGGTGAGCATGTTTTCAGTCCTCACTCAATAAGTTTGTAACTCCATGGGCTCAGCTTCAGTTGCCTAGATTGCTTAGACAATGATTGCCTAGATCAAGTGAACACAAGTAGCAATATCAGTTGTGTAAGCATTTACCAGCAAAATTAATATCAGTTAAGTTCTGGAAAAATTTTTCACACTGTGAAAGTTACTCATCTTTTGGCAAAATCATTTGGAAATTGACTTTCTAACACTTTCCCCTCCCCTAAAATTCTCATCAAGTTAAATCTTGCAGCTTTCACATATTAAAGTTGCCTTTGTTAACATGGTTATTAAATTCATTAGCATGGTTAATGTGTGTTTTCAGGCTACCTGTAGAGATAACAGACGGGAGGGAAAATATATCCAGGGTGCATTATAGCACTGATGAAACACATAGCTATCGTCTAGTTCTTTAATATGTCTTCCCCTGACTATTATAGTCCCAGTTTTACCTCATTAATTGTTCATTGTTAGACCTGTGTATATTTATTTATATAATGAAGAGTGTCTGATTCATGAAGTCCAAGGTAGATGAACCCTTCAGAAATAGTAATGGGAACAATGATCCCTTGGGGGTACAGGAAGAGAACAGGGGAAGGGGGACCAGATAGCAGAGATGACTGTTTATTCCCACTCCAGGGGAATGAATAACAGAATTGTAGGTGAACAGATACAGTGGATGGTGTACGATATAGAAATAATAATAATATAAGAATAAGGGTTCCTGGGGGTAGGGTGGGGGAGGGGATAGAGGGGAGCTGATATCAAGGAGTACAAGAAGAAAGAAATGTTTTGAAAATGATGGTGGCAGTAATTGCACAATTATGCTCGATCTAATTGAATTATGAATTGTCATAATATCCATACGAGCTCCCACTAAAATGCTTGAAAAATTAGTGATTTTTAAAAGTCATCTTATTAACTCTACTATTCAGAAAAGGTCGCCCTTCCCTAAAACCTCAATAAGAATTCCATTTTTAAATTTCTCTTTCTTTAAAAGATCTTTTATTATTCTTTAGACCCTTGGAATAATTTTTCACGAGTGTTCTGACTGTGGTGAATCAATACCAGTGTGGGCGTAGGCGTCTCATAGGAGAACAGGACAGGCAGAAATTCTAAGGGCTTTTTTTCCAGAGTACATGCATGTATTTGAATTGTTTTGATGTGTGTGATAAATTTTAAGTAAAATAAGGGATTAATAGCATAAGTGTTTTTTGATCGTATGAAGCATTTCATGGTAATTATATTTAATTTGTATTCTGAAATATGCAAGGATCAGAGTATCAGTTTTTGTGACTAGTTTGTATGTAACATTATGGGGCCTTAGGAATGTGAAAATTTTCCTGGGTCTGTATATTAACTAAATGTTTTTCTAATATACTAACACTTGAAGTCACTGAAATTATCATTATTTCTTAGAATTTAATGCAACAATCATTCCAAAAAGGGAGAGATTGTATTTCAAGGTGGGAGGGAATCTCCATAATACTTAGCGGTATTATCAATTATTAGTATTATACCATCAAGGTGAGAGAATATGATACTTAAACATTCTTCTTTTTTTCTAACCCTTATTATTAGAGACACTTAAAAATACAGCATTTTATATATACCTTTGAGACTTTTGAAAATTTCACACTTTTGGATCTGGATAGCATGATTTTTTTATTTATTAGCATGATTATTTTTATTTGACTTAAAGAAACAGCAGCAACAACAAAAGCTTAGTTGCAGGCATTCTCTCTAAAATAAAATATGAGTGTAGTACAAGAGGTTCCTTTTACCACTTTGCCCTCGAATACAGCTTCAAAGATAAGCTAAACCCTTGGGGTGGCTACTACTTTAGTTGATAAAAGATCTCTCCTTGATGTGAATGGCTTTGTTCTACTTACACATTTAAAGTGGCCTTTCTGGCAGGCTCTGCCCTCCCTGTGGCTGACAGTCCCTGTGATAACAGCAAGTGTGGTTCCTGAAACGAAGAGGACTGCTCTCAGGGCAGTGAGCTGCTCGCAGTGAAGCCTGGTATCATTTCTCGAGTGCGTCTCTTGAGTCTTAATTCCAAGTGTGCTCCAGAGTCACCACCTGTGCAGTCATGGGGCAGACTATCAACTCCATCATTTATGCTCATGCCTTCGGAATACTTGTAACCAATATTTTTTGTTTATGAAATCATTAAAGCAAAGGTCACCGCACTTTCTGGTATCTTGTTGCAAACCTCTGTCTGCATAGAGAAGGTATTTATGGTTATTCATTGTGAGCGCATTCAGACTCTCTGTCCATGTGGCTGAATGTGGGCTTAGAGAAAAGTGCCCTGAGATCACAGTCTAAAAATAGACTATCCTCAGTGACGTCGTGTAAGTAGAGAAGTCAATTGAGTCATTCCGTTTTAAAGCATTTGGGATTGTAATTATTGTAGAGAAGGGTTTAATCCAGGAAATTTGACTTCACAATCTCATCTGAGACTTTTGTAGTCAGCCTCTTTTGATGAGGATAAGGACATGGAGATTCAGAAATACACGGTATAGTTAGCTGCCTACTGGAACCTTAATGCTGGGCCTACAAACAGATTATAATAGGGCCAAAAGCAGCCAGGTGAATAAATAATACCAGAGGGCTTCAAAAAGTTTGTGGAAAAATGGAAAGACAATGGAATTTTTCTTGTATGGAAAAGGGTCACCACTCAAGAGAATTGCCACTAATACAGATAATAGTGTGTAGAGAAGTGGTTCTCAACCTGTGGGTCACGACCCTTTGGGGGTCGAACGACCCTTTCACAGGGGTTGCCTGATTTATAACAGTAGCAAAATGACAGTTTTGAAGTAGCAACGAAAAGAATTTTATGGTTGGGGGTCACCTCAACATGAGGAACTGTATTACAGGGTCGTGGCATGAGGAAGGTTGAGAACCACTGGTCTAGAGGCATGCCAGGGTTAGCTGCCACCCAGGTACTCAGGATATCACAGGAGGTGATACTCTGAGCAAATCCAGACCTCAGCAGTGCCTGAGCAGTGGCCGGACTAGAGTCAATTGGTACGGCATCTTACTTCGAGGAAAGTCATCCAGTTTGACAAAAGGACCCCCATGGCTGAAGGAGCAGCAAGTTGGGAAAAGGGCTAGTAATGTCTATGGGAATTTGGAGGCACCTAATATTTTGCCTGGAGCCCTGGTGAGGCTGTTGGGTAAGCATAGGGATGCTTAGCACAAGGTTGGTGGTTCCAACCCACCAGCCCCTTTGCAAAGAAAGGTGTGGTTGTCTGCTCCTGTAAACATGTCTAGTTTTGGAGACCCTATGGAAGTGGTTCTGAACTTTTCTCATGCTGTGGCCCTTTAATACAGTTCCTCATGGTGTGGTGACCCCCAACCATAAAACTGTTTTCGTTGCTACTTCATCACTGTAATTTTCTACTGTTATGAACCCGGCAACCCCTGTGAAAGGGTCATTCGACCCTCAGGTTCAGACCTGCTGCACTGTGGGATCACTATGAGTCAGAATCCACTTGATAGCAGTGTTGCACTTGATGTGTAGCAGAACTCAATAAATGCTTAATGGTGTTCCTTGAACCCAAGAAAATCATGCCAAGATTCATTGTGGTTCCCCTGATTCCAAGGAGTCATAATCAGAAGCCAGGACACAAGCCCAACTATAGAGACTACAGCAGAGAAAGGAGCAGACAGGTGAGCTCGCTGCTGGCAAACTGAGCCTAGTGCTTGAAAAGTGAATGTTGGGTTTATGAAACCATTATTATGCCACTCAGTCTTGGAACTCATTTTCTTATACACTATGAGTCTATAGATGTAAGATATTGAGAACACAACACTAGGTAGGCTTTGGGATGCAGAGATTTATAGAAGAGTTTCCTGTCTCCATAGATTTTGTTAGGTTGTGATGAAATTCACCAAGCCAAGGATCAGGAAGAGGACTTAACATTTGGAGGACAAGTACAGAGTTCTAGGAACGTTCAGTTCACTCAGTACTTTAGGTATTTTAAAGCCTCACAACCTTCCAATATGGTAGGTAATACTCTCACCACTTTGCAAAGGAAGACTCAAAGGCTCAGACTTCATTTGCCCAAGTTACACATCTTGTGCAGAGCGAGGCCAGCCTTTTAGTGTCTATTCAGATTCTGGTGTCTGTACCCTAGAAACCTACCAGTTGGAGACATCACCAGCCAGTGTTGCTACATGCGTGTTGTGAATTTGATAGCCTGGGCATGTTGCTGCTGGGTGCCATCCAGTCGGTTCTGACCCAGCGCCACCTAATGTCCAACAGAACAGAACACTGTTCCATCTCATGGCATCTTCACAATTGTTCTTATACTAAAATTGGAAGCCTAGAAAAGCTAAAAAGTTACTGGTTTTAGCAAAACTCTCCCAGTTTTTGTCCCCTCAGCTTTGCTGTCTGCACAGATTCCATCCTTTTTTGGCAGTCGAGTGCACAATACTTTGAAGTCATCGTTTGTCCCGCTTCCAGGAACACCCAGAATTCTCAGATTGTTTTTCAGTGCTTCACTCTCTAGTTTTCCCATCTAATGATTGAGGGAAGGCTGCTTTACCTTAGCATATTTCTGGTAGTGTTGCCAGGCCAGTCACCCTGAATTGTATTTCATCCTTCCTCTCGTTCTCACTGTCTGTTCTGGGGAAAGAGCCTGCACTTCCTCAAGCAGTCTGAGCAGGGAGCTTGGGTTTTGGAAATGGTGCCATCTTGAGTCGAGTCCTTCAGAAGGACTAGAAGTGGGTTTTCTTAACTCAATTTTTTATTGTTGCAGTAAAATATGACTGGAGGTTAAAGTGAAGCTATTGAAGAAAGCCAGGTCAGTCAGCAAGACGGTCTAGAAACAGAATAGCAGTTGTGTTCAGGGCTCTGAACCAATGCATCCTGTTTGATCCCCTCCTGAGAATTTCCATTTCCATCCCAGATAGTACACTTCTTTAGTATTTGCATTTCAACAAGTTTCCCCAGCTAATTCTTAAATATACATA